TTTTCTCATTGTGAAATATCGCAAGATGCTTTGTCTTACTCCGAGGAAGGGCTAATGCCGCGGGGGCCATGCAGAGCGCTGTACGCGGCAGATGGACAGACTAGGGTCCTGGTGATCGACCCTGTATCCGAGCGAGCGCCTTGCGGACGGACATCGACGAATGCGTTTGTAGGACTTGGTTTTATTGCAGATTTGGGGTCCTGCTGCCTGCCATGTCAGGAGGCTTGTGATGTGGGTGGGTGGGCTTACTCCATCGCTTTGGCTTGCCGTCGATCTGCAAGCGCGACGGCATAAAATACCGACGATTTATATTGTCGCGGGACATCGTAGCATCTGCCACGTGATTACGGTGGGTTTGCTCAGACCCTTGCCATGTGATGCCAGATTAGCATGCCAAATCCTCGATGTTGGCAGACATGGGTAAAACCCCCAAAATCCACTCAACACGCCATGCCAAGCCCATGATCTCGATGTCGCTCGGGACAATTGACCGAAAAAGATCCACTTGCGCACATGTACTGTACTCCTAGCTCTGGTTGTAGGCTGCAGTGGCGAGTTAGCTGCTGTCGGGTGCATGCTTTCCATTGGGCGCTATTGAATCCGCCGTATGCGAACATTGTTACCGCCTTGCACGACTGTGCGCTTCATGATCCCAGACAAGACTGACTGCCAATCACACCACATCATGCAGTTGACGGAGTAATCCAGACTGCCGTTCAGTCTAGCTGCACATGCCCAGGTGTTCGAGATGGACTAGGCAGTGTTATTCAAGCGAATAGATCTAGATTTCCTATGTACATCCTACACGCCTTCCTTGCCCTTGCCCACACGCTGCACATGCAGAGATTCGTGCTCCTTACGGCATTAACCGTGGAGGCTGAGCCTTCCTGAACTCTAGCATACAAGGACAGGCTCTCTGTATGCACGTAGCGTAATCCGAACGGCGCGTGCGTTGCGGGCTTAGAAGGACCGGTAGTTCATCTCCAACACTTCAATCCTTGAGGTAGGGATCCATCCTACGTATAATCACTTGGTATTCGATAGGCCAATAAGTGGACTGGTTGCGTTGGGGTATCATCTCGAAATAGCAAATAACATATGAAAACGTAAAGCGTCCCCGCGCATGCTCGCTTGGCTGATGCGCGGTACACGCATAGCAGTCATGTCGTTGCTGACGTCTCGCAGCGAAACAGCTTGTGGTCGCATGCGGTATGCACTACCCACTGGAACGGGCCATGCGTACTGCTCATGCCGAATCATGTACTGTAACATTGGTATAGCGTTCAAAAAAAGAATCAAGGTGAGCTTTCGGTCTCGACCATGTCGTCGTCCGCTGCTCTTGATGCCAGTTCTCCTGCTCTTACGAGGACCGCAAGTGACCCTTGATTGCGATAGTCGTGGGGATTATGCGAGAGGTGTGACGGCATGGGCGGTATCGGCCGATCCAGTGGCGAGGCTAGGGGTGCTATACTGGGCACTGGCTGGGGAAGCATGCGCATCGTCTTACTCGGGTCTGCAGGTAATGTCTGCCCAGGATAAGCCGACAAGGTGTACCCTTGAGATCCCTGATTGCTGTGACCACTCTCGGACGACAACGTCGTATCTTCGTGACTGAGCGGGGGGAGACGCGAGGAGTCGCGCAGAGTCCTGCGAGAAAGCATGTCGTTTGGCCCCTGAAAGTGATTTGGGTGGGGATATGGAGGTGGTGGAGTCGATGCAATCTTTTGGTGGAGGTCCAGGTTGTACGCAGAAGGCTGATGGTACGGATTGGCATCGAAGGGGATCCTCGTGTCTCGAATGGAATTGGGTATAGATGGGTCATAGACACCGCCATCTCTTTGCAAGACCGTGGTCCGTGGAGATGCAGATGTGGGGGAGAATTGTTCGCCCGAACGGGGGGAGTTGAAGCCAGAAAGGGGAATATTGGCCGGCGATGTCGAGTTCGAAGCGTAGACTGGGCCAGGTGGTAGCCGTGAAGGGGGGATTGGTTGAGTGGGATCCGGTTTTTGTTGTAATGCTGCTTGGGCATCGGACTGAATAGAACTCAATCTCCTGTTTGCCGGTGGGTCGACCTGTTCATTGCTACCTCCTCGTGTTGAAGTGCTGGTTTCGGTTTCGAGCTTTGAGCGTTTGCCTTCTGCACGTGTCAATACATTGCGGCACATGACGACGGAAGCTGTGGACAGACCTTTAGTGGGTACTGAGTGCTTCGACTTGAAATCTTCGAGATACTTTTGGTACGCCTCGAAATGGGGCGTCTTTTTGTACTCAGCCAGCTCTGCATAGTACTTCTCTTTGGCACCATTGGCCTGTCGTTCACAACCTTCGCGTTCCTCGGCAGGCAAGACTTGCCATTTCTCACCGACTACCTTGGCAATCTCGGTGAAGGTAAGGTCTTGTCCCTTGAGTGACTCTCGCACCTCTGCTGTGGATTAGTCGTGATCGCGTTGGGCCAGAGACCAGACTTACGATTGGAGAATATCACGTAAGCAGAGGGTGGACGTTCCGGTGCATGTTCATCAGGCTGCGTTGGGTTAGCGATGTTGCACGACATACGGGATCTGCAGAGTGGCCTACCTTGGGATGTCGACGGTACTTCCGCTTGGCCCCTGTTCCATTCGGTGCAGTATTGGTGGGCTCTGGCTGCTTGCTTTTGCTCTCTGGCCCCGAGTCGTCACTGCGATACGAGCCGGCAGTGCTCCCAGCTCGTGCAAGATTGATGGGCAGAGGCCTATCTGAAGACTGTCCGCGCGATTCGGCGATTGCCCGTTGAAGTTTCTACGAAGAGGTCAGTTGTTGCTGGTGGTAACGTCGCAGGATAGTGACGTACCCGACGATGGCCAAGCTTGACGTTGAGGGAACTTCTACAGAATAGTAAGCATGGGCGCGGCTTGGGTAGGTAGGGGTGGAGCCATTGCGCACAAGTCTGATTCTGTAATGTCGAGCACAGTCTCCCAAGTGTCGAAGCCTTCGGCTGTGAACACTTCGTGGTACTGGGACAGTCCCAATCGCGCGAGACGTTCTCTCAAGTCGCTCATGTAGGAGGGCGTGAGCGCGTGGACTGGGCGGTGTGGTGTAGCGACCAACTCTCGAACAGCGCGGGCCAGAGAGGACTTGGTGTGTCGTAGATTATTAGAGCACTAGTGGCAACAGGGTGGGAATCGAGCGTGATCGAGCGGGCTCGAGTATGGCGGAACTAGTGTACAGGGATCAAATAGGAAATGCCTGGGTCGTGGGGTGGCTATGTGATTGGTGCGGCACGACGAGTGTGGCGGATCGACTCGTAACGAAAATCCGCGTAGGGGTCAAAGTGTTGCAGGGCGCAGATGCGCAGAGAAGAGCAAGAGAAGGAGCAGTCAACGACTAAGGTGCATCCATAAGTGGTGGCGCCTAACGTTGGGTTTGGGGTAGGTGGGTCCCGGACCGATCAGCAGAATTCTGTGATTATGCTGTGGTAGGGGCAGGGAGGGAGCGTCTCGGCTACTGTAGTGGTGAAGACAGCGGACGCAGCCTAGTAGATACGCGGCCAGGACAACGGCCGTCGAGAGTCAGCAAGCGGCCGGAGCTCATTTGGCGCGTCCCAAGCGGTGGTGCGCGCTGCGCAGAGTCGCACGAGGCCTGGGTTTGCGGTGAGAGCAGGCAGTTCCGGGCGAGAGCGGTGCAGGAGCAGGCCCAGGGCAGAGGGACAGGGCTAGCAGTAGGCAGGATTCGGCGCAATCATCGCGGGCGTTGCAATTGGCGCAGGGGCGGAGCAGAAGCGGACGGCGTGGACGAGGGATGACGCTGATGATATGGGACGATGAGGTTTGCGAAAACAAGAGTCTGGGAGCCAGAAAATAAGGACGTGTGACTGTGCAGCAACACCTAGGCCAGGGCTCTCGAGATCAGAGCAGGCGATCGGCGGAACAGACAGGCAGAGGGCGGCCAGGGGGGCCACGGTGCGAGCGAACGCTCCAGCCACGTCTTCCGGACGGGGAGCTCACTGATGCGGAATCTTGTCCTGGCGATGACGTGGGCTGATAGGCTGCGAGGCGTGCGGGCAGCGGGTGATGCTGTCAAGTCTACAGAACATCTCACGCAGAGGCACGATCGACGAAACGCCGGTACCTACAGTAGGGCCGGTTCGCATGAGCCGGCGACGTCCTGGGCTGCCATGTGCGCTGCCAATACACGCTGACCGTAATTGCAATCTCGTAACAACCATGGAAACTCCCAGATGCCCATCGCAGCTCGTGCCGTGCGCCAGGCTGCCAGAGCCTTGCCACAGTGCAGCGCAGGTGCCTTGCGTCATGTTGAAGCCATGATGGCATGGCTATTGCCATTGCAAACACCGCTGTATAGCCGAGCAGACGGCCTCGCGACGTCAGCTAAGCGACTACCAGACACTCGATCTGCGATGCGACGCAGCTGGCGGCGTCGTGTACGAACGAACAGCAGACCCTTCAAAGCCCGGGACGGGCTGCATCGGCGATGGAAAATTCTGGATCCAGTCGCTCAGCACGCGGCGACGCCCTGCAGCCCATTGTCTCCCGACTCTGATCAGTTCCAAGTTTTGTCAGTATGTAGGTTGCTGTAGCCGTCATGGCTCCAGCTGGTGGCCGATCGCTGTGCTGCCAGGGGCGGACAGGGCCCCTGGGCGTCCACCTCCGCCCGAGCGTCATCGCCAGCGGAGCGGAACGTTGCTTCCAAGGTTTCTTGGCCACAGCACGCACGCACGTGACGTGACAGGCGGGCACATGCACATCCATGATATTCCATTGCGCTATGTCTCATCTCAAGGTCCAAGGTCATGGCATTCTAGACCCTGCGCGTGTCATCAGAACCGCCCCGAATCTCTCCCAGCGTGACCATCGCGACCCACGGCTCGTCACCCTTTGACTGACGTCGCCGTGTTTCTCGGTAACAGACCATGCCGGGCTAGGCGCACCAACCGCAGTCGTGGCCGTGTCGTCGTTGTCGCAATGTGGTTTGGAATCATACGATGCTGCTTCGCATCGGCCCTACTCGTCCTCCAGTACAGTTTGCCCATCGCCTCCCGGCACCATCTGGAGCTGTCAGTAATGGCGCCAAACGAAACAGCCTGTTTCATACCATGCAGATGTTGTTGCCGTTCAGTAGGATTTTGGGCAGCTCGACGTTCCCCTCGGCTGGGTCACTGCCACCGCGTCAGTCGGATGTGTCCGTGTCAAACCTGCAAAGAACCTTGGAAGCACGCACATTTCCGTCACATTCTCCAGCACCATGTCTGTGTCTGTTAGAATAGTTTCATCTCCCGACTTCCCAGATGTACTTACTGACGTAGTCGTCGAAACCCACCAGCTTTCCAGTGAATTCCTTCCCGCCGTTCATGATGACCCAGATCTGCGAACCCACGCACTTGTCGATGAGCTCTGCAGTAATTTAGTCATGAACCGACACCTGGTCGGACAGAGACGCACCTAGCGGAAGAAGGTTCTCGAGCGACATGGTGACGTGGTTTGTTGTGAGCTGAGTTTCGGTCGTTGAATGCAACTGTCGCGTTTGAGGTGTCGGTACAATCAAGGTGGTGATTGCCCAGGTGGTGGGCTTGATATCTTGGCGTTCAAGACCACCGCATCTGCCACAGGCCGCGCTAGCCAACCACTGCTCGCGCCACAACAGGCAGCAAGCGTCCTCGTCCACACAATCGACTCGCGCCCGTGGCGACCATCTCCTCCTGCCGGTGCCTATTGGGTGCACTACCATGGAGTGTTATGCTCTTCAGTCGACGCGCCTCTCTGCTGAGCGCGTCAGATGCCCCACGGCGTGTTTGCCATGAGCCGCCTACCCACGCCTTCTTCTCCGTAGAGCGCCATACACAGTATTCTCGTATACTCAGAGCGATGCACACTACCCCATTACGCTCCACGCCTACCACCTCACCCTCCTCGACCTGCCGATGGAAGCGGGGACGGCCCGTTCCTCGAAGCGACAACTTTCCTAGGCGAATCCACAAGACTCCCGTCCCTGCGCTACAACCTCCTGCTACCCAGCCTACTTCTATAGACTCAGCCTCCATGGCTCGGGACCATCGCCAAATACGTCAGGTCTCGGCTGCGCTACACGTACGACTAGCCGAGGCCGCTCCAATACTGGGCGCTGACCGATTTCAGCGGGTGGGACTATGGAATCCAGCTCACGGACTACGCTTTGCGACAACAGCGACAGCGGAGGCGCCCAAGCCGGATATCCCAGAAGCCACAGAGACCGAGTCCTCACCTCAAGACGATGTGGCTGCGGCAGCCCGTACCGATCACCCCTTCCCGCACACCAATAACGAAGCAGGCGATGCTGTCAGACAGGATGGAGAAGCTAGTACGGGACATGTCTCGGAGAATGCAGACTCTAGCGGCCTCTCGTCCGAAGGAGAGTTGGAAGCCAAGGACAATGAAGACGTAGATGAACACGTCTCTCTTACCTATCAGATCCCGGAGGAAAAGCTGCGTGCTGCAATGCTTGCCACTCCCCAAACTCGTGATAGTTATTGGGGTGCGAAGCTTTACCAAGGGCCCGAGGGCGAAGCGATCTCGACCCATTATTGCAAGTCTTTTGACGTTGCTGAAAGGGTGGCCAAATACTTCTTACAAGAAAAAGTGGTGGGCTTCGACATTGAGTGGAAGCCTCGCGGAAACCCATATTCCATCAAGCAAAATGCGTCGTTGATTCAGCTCGCGTGCGAAGATCGCATCGCACTCTTTCATGTGTCGCTGTTCTCTGGGAAGACAGTCGAGCAGCTGATGCCACCCAGTCTGAGGGCTGTTCTAGAATCACCCAATATTTACAAGGTAGGTGTGGCTATCAAGGGAGACTTCAAGCGCCTGGAAAAGTACCTCAACATTCAATCTCAAGGTGTCTTCGAGCTAAGTCGCTTGCACAATCTAGTTGAATGGTACGAGGTGGAGCCTAGCAAAGTGTCAAACAGACTTGTAAAACTCGCTTCTCAGGTGCTACAGCACCTCCAACTGCCTTTGTACAAAGGAGAGCGACTAGTCGACGATCCGGATACAACCTCCAGCGTCCGAGAAAGTGACTGGAGTCTGTCCTTAGATTTGCAACAGATACACTACGCGGCTGCTGATGCATATGCTGGCTTTCGTCTTTATCACATGCTTGAGTGGAAGAGGACACGGATGAAGCCAGCCCCTCCTCCAGTGGCCCTTTGCGACTTCGACAACAAGCCTACTCCCAGGCCAAAGGTGCCCCGCAAAAGGGTAAAGGCAGCTACCAAGTCCGACGATGCAGCGGACGTAGTTGCGAAGCCGTCAATCGACGTGACAGAAGAGCAACAAGAAGATGAGGAAGACGCGGAAGGGTATGAGACGGCGACGGAGGAATTTACCGACAGTCATGAGCTCGAAGACGCACCAAATGAAACAAGAAAAGCTGCGCCCGTGGATGACTCAAACAAGGCCTCTGCGGCTGAGGCTGCGATGAAGCCCGATTCGAACAGTGTTGAAGAAAGTGGAGTTTCTTCACAAAAGCGAATTGGCCGTGTGAGCCTTTCCTGGCTCCAAAACACCGACCCCGGATACCCTGAGCTGCCCAAGACATCGCAGGAAGAGGATGTGGGCCCACAGTCTACCGGATCTTCCAAAGATGAGGTTGCCATGCAAATGGAGAAGCAAGGCCATGGTATTTCACACCGGGAGCAGAACGATAGCGATGATGAATACCCAGACCCAGAGCTTGAAGATGCGCTTATACGCATGTCTTTGGACGAAAGTGGGAAGCTTATTCAAGACGGGAACGAAGCAGCATCAGAGCATGCTAGCCCAACACCTACCATAAGCCAAGACGATCTGGGAACGCAGTCAGTACTTCCTACCCATCCAGCAACCGCGCAAGCTTCTAATACTGCCAAAGTGGCTGAGCCATCAGGTCTCAAGCATGATTCCCTCGATGTTGTCGATTCCGCCGTGCCAACACCAGCTCCGCAATCAAACATCGGCCTACTCAATGAGTCATCACGAACACCTGAGTACAACTTGGCGACGACCTGGGCACAGGAACATCTTCAAGTCACTATTCCATCGCCTACTTCAACAACACCCTCACGTATACGCGCGACTGTGACACACCTTCGCGCATATCACATGTGGCACTACCAGAAGCTCCCACTCGAGAAAATGGCAGCAATCTTGCGAGATCCGCCGCTCTCGAATAACACGATTGCGAATTATATCTTGCAGGCAGTCACACTGGAGAGGCTTGAATATGAGGAAGACTCTCTTCGAAGTGTGTTACTAGCGCTACCTCCAGGGATGCGAAAGGGACGATGGAGGGGGCTGGCCGAGGAAGTTGGCGTGTGACATGAACACATCGACCGTAACCTAGACATTGACAGAGCATTCTCGAATGAACAAGCTATTCTTAGATGTTTTGGAAACGTGGGACGAAGTTGAATACGTGTTTAGAGGATTTGCGGTGTGTTTATGTGTTCTCTTCGTATTCAGACTTGTCAGTTTGCACATGGAACGCAGGACGCGGAAGCCATTCCGCTTTTGTCAACCAAGTCGTGGCTCATCTTTACGCGTCTATGGTCAGCTCACGCGTCTATACTCAGTGCTGCGCGTCTATGATGTTGCGATACAATGTGACACGCCAATGATGTCCAAGCATATGAACAGTAGACACATGTCACCATTCAGCCACGGCCGCACTCACCAGGTACCATGTGCGGCGCAAACTAAGTCAGGGTCCAGGCACGCACTAGGCCAACCCCACGCGTGCCAACCGCGAAACTGCGGTGAGGAGCAGCCATCCCTGCAGGAACTCCGAAATACATCAGGACAGCCGGCCCCTGCTTTGCTACACCTCTGACTGTTCTGACGATCTTCGACCATCCCAATTGAGCTTTGTCTGTCCGCATACCTGTCAATTCAAGACTCACGAGGAGACTCCCACCATGGCCGCCGCCGCAGCTGTCTACCCCCCGCTCGACCAGCGCCCGGTCAAGAACACGGTCCTCCTGTTCGATGTCGACGACACACTCACAAAGCCCCGTCAAGTGTGTACACTCGATGCATGCTCAGCGATGCTTCTCTAACACCGTTGCAGCTCGTCACTCCGCAGATGCTGCAGCTCCTTTCCGAAGTCCGTCACAAGTGCGCCATCGGTTTCGTTGGCGGCTCCAACCTCGTCAAACAACAAGAACAGCTCGGCGGCCCCGTAGACGTTACCTCGCTGTTCGACTTCTGCTTCGCCGAGAACGGACTCACTGCCATCCGCATGGGCGAGGTCCTGGCTAGCCAGAGCTTCATCGCGTGGATTGGCGAGGACAAGTACAAGCAGTTAACCAAGTGGTACGTATGTACAGCAGGTTGTGGGGCAACGTTAACAATGATTCTAGGATTCTTCATTACATCGCTGATCTCGACATCCCCATCAAGCGCGGTACCTTCATCGAGTTCCGCAACGGCATGATCAACGTCTCCCCCATCGGCCGTAACGCCTCCACCGAAGAGCGAAACGAATACCAAAAGTACGATCTCGAGCACAAAGTCAGGGAAACCATGGTCGCCAAGCTCAAGGAAGCATTCCCCGACTCTGGTCTCACATACTCCATCGGTGGTCAAATCTCGTTCGACGTTTTCCCTACTGGCTGGGACAAGACCTACTGCCTGCGACACATTGAGGCGGAGAAGGGCCTGACTGGTGTCGTATACGACAAGATCCACTTCTTTGGCGACAAGGCTTACGAGGGTGGAAACGACTGGGAAATCTACAGCGACGAGCGGACTATCGGACACAAGGTCAAGAACCCAGATGATACCTATGCGCAACTGTCGGAGCTGTTGAAGAGCTTCCAGTAGTGGGTTTGGACGCATTAATAACGATTCTGACGAAGCACCCACGGCAGCATCTTTCCGTCTGATATGAGGAAGATAGTACTGGCGATAGAGTACGACATGTAATGTGAACAAGAATCATACGATGCCATTGGTCGAGGGATACGTTCTGGGCCTCGATTTCCAGCATTCCCTCGCATCGGCATATGCCCAGATTTTGACTTCCGCGCAGTTGCCGCACTCCGTGACTTTAGTGGAGCAGCGTTGATCATTCGATAGTGACTTCCTGTGCACCAAGGCATTTCCCGAAGACCCATACCGGAAACAGCAACCCGACTTGCTATCAGAACCTTAAATCTGCAGAGCTCAGCAAAGGGTCCAGTAGTGAGAGGCTTATTCATACCGCGCCCTGCTTGGTCACCATCAGCTTCGATGCCGAGATACGTACACTCTTTCTACTATAGGCAGCTCGGAGCTGAGCGTGTACTAATCAACCACGCTGGTCGTTATTGGCTTATTGTGTAACATGGCGTATGCAGGTACTCAATCCGATCATCTCCCCGCACCGGAGTACAGCCGGGGTCATGGCACCGGAAGTTAGACGTAGAGTGCAGATTGTGATTGGGTCCATTCGCACCGATTGATACACAACACCGGTTTCCAAGACGGCTTTTCACAGCATGACATGCCGGTTAAAGATGCAGGTCACTTTCGCTGATCGAAATGCTAGATCTTGCATCTCAACACCGAAGCAAGGAAGCCAGATCTGACCAGGCAGCTGGGAGTGTACAAGTACCGACAAGAATACGGCGACATCCTGGAAACGAACTGCTAACTTCTACACGTACTCCATCATGAGAGTACCTACAATTCCGCTCTTCTTACTCCCGGTTCTCGCGTCAGCATCCCCTCTCCACCATGCTTCTTGCACTCCGCCACAGGCTTCCTCCAACACTTCAAACACGTACGACTATATCGTCACCGGTAGCGGTCCAGGAGGCGGTACAATCGCCACCAATCTCGCTCTTGCTGGACACTCCGTTTTGTTGATCGAGGCTGGCTCGGACGCTTCGTTTGATATCCGCACCCAAGTGCTCGCTCTGAATGACTACTCCAACACGAATGTAGCGTGGCATTTCTTCGTCAAGCATAGTGATGACGAAGAGAGATTGAAGAGGTACAATCTTTTGGTTTGGAGGTTGAAGGATGGAGAGTGTAAGTTGAGATTTCGATAGACATTACCTGGGCCTACCTTGCTAATGTCAGTGATAGACTGGGTTGGGAAAGATCCCAGTGTTGAGGGACACGTAGGCGCTGAGAGGTTGGGCGTTTTCTATCCTAGAGGTGTAAGTGACATCCTCCCCTTGCGAACTGCATATGAAAGGTTTGCTGACTGTATATCCTGCAACGTAGGCTACTTTAGGCGGGAGTGCGATCATCAACGCGGCTGCGACATTCCTGCCAAGCGACAGCGATTGGGACTTCTTTGACCATGGAGTTGGGGATGGTGTTTGGAGGTAAGCCACCAACAGATCTCGCCTCTCAAAATAGTACTAACAATCACGCAGTGCCGAATTGATGCGGAAATACTTTGAGAAAATCGAGCACAACAACTATCTCGAACCCGGTACTCCTGGCCACGGCTTTACAGGCTGGCTCCAGACGAACATCGCTGATCGAGCTACCCATGCGGCTGAAGCACTCCGCTTCAAGGTCTTTCAAGCTGGATTGAAATTGGTCGGGAAAGATCCAGAAAATGTACTGGACTATCTCACCAGCGACGCGAACTATCTCGATCCAATGCGTGACCAGACAGAGGGTCTGTCGTCACTGCCATTCCATGTCACACCCAACTGGAAGCGCTTCAGCCCACGCGACCGTATCTTGGAATTGCGCAACCTAACGACTTCGAATGGAACGCCGATGTACCCGCTACATCTTCAGCTTGAGTCTTTGACCACAAAGGTGCTATTCGACGAATGCAGTGGCAATGGCACAAAGCCGCGAGCAATTGGGGTTGAATACTTGCAAGGCAAGTCCGTATACAAGGCCGACCCACGTCGTAACACTTCCACCACCGGTACACTGCACCAAGCTTTCGCTCGAAAAGAAGTCATCGTAGCTGGTGGTGCCTTCAACTCGCCGCAGATCCTACAGCTCTCTGGTATCGGGCCCAAAGCCCTTCTCGAGAAGTTCAACATCCCTGTAATCTCTAACTTACTGGGTGTGGGCCGCAACCTCCAGGACAACTACGAGGTACCCATTTACGGGAACGCCCAAATCAGCTTCGCAAAGACACCTGACCCCAATGCACCAAAATGCACTAACGGATCACCCGGCGATCCATGTATCGAACTTTGGTACAATGGCCAAGGACCCTACGCGCGCGGCGGCACAAACTCAAATGCGTTCCTCCTCAAGACCGCCCATGCGGTCGAAGGCGAAAGAGACGAGCTAATGTTCGGCTTCACGGGTGGCTCCTTTGCAGGCTTCGCGCCACCGACGTCTCAAAACACAACACGCTACCCTCCCACAACATTCTCTTGGTCCACCGTTAAGATACATCCCCAGAACACTGCCGGATACGTCCAGATCCGATCAGCCGACCCGGTAGAAACACCGGAAGTGAATTTGAACTACTTCGCCGAGGGCGCAGAAACAGATCTAAACGCCATGCTCGACACTGTTGCTTTCGTCCGTAGAGCATTTGCTTCCACCGAAGCACCGGTCGGCCCTGTGACACCTGTTTCTCCACCCTGTCCGCCTGCTGATATCCTTGAGACGGGCTACTGCCGTGACATGCAGATTGATAGGGAGTGGATTCACGACCAAGTCTTTGGTCACCATCCCACAAGCACGAACAAGGTCGGCCCGGATTCTGATCCTATGGCTGTGTTGGACACGAGGCTGAGGGTCAGAGGGGTTGAAGGGCTGCGGGTTGTGGATGCGAGTGCATTTCCTAGATGTCCGGGTGCGTTTCCGGCGGTTAGTACGTTCTTGTTGAGTGAGCGGGCGACGGATCTGGTGTTGGAGGATGTGGGCAAGTGGTGAATTGGATGTTTGTTGTTGGGTCGCAAGGGTATGGGGAGATGGTGCAAGCATTGCAATGGCCATTTTACGAGCTTAACTGCGACAAAAGTGAATTAGATCTTCGTATAACTACAGTACAGACGAAGAGTAATAACCGCGAATCTCTCATCGAAGCAGTGGGAAGGCGGCATGACGAATGTTAAATCCAGAGCCCTGCATTAGCGTTTCTGGCGCTGCCTAACAGCTTTGATTGGGCCTACAGGGAGCTGGGTCTCCACAGTGCCCTCCCTGCCGCGATCGATGGATTTGCTGTAGTTGCCTAACAGGGAAAGCCGTCCCGGTGGACAGGGCGTTGATTGGCGCGACAGGGACACAGAGATCCACATTGCCCTCACTGCCCTCCCTCTCTCCCGCGATCGATAGTCTTCGCATAGTTGCCTGATCGGGAAAGCGTCCCTGTCGAGCCAATCAAAATCTCGTCTACAGGGCCAGCGGTCTCCACAGTGCCCTTCCTGCCGCTATCAACGGTTTTCTTTTACCTTCCTATCCGGGGAAGACACTCTGCAGGCGAGGCTCTGATTGGCTCCACAGGGCTGGGACAACAGGGAGACTGCGTTCCCGCGGCCACAAATTATTTGTCGCAAAGCGTCCAGCCCCAAACCAGTCCGCCAAAACCACGCATTTCACAACAAACCTACGGAACTCGAAAGCGCCGAATCTAACCCGACTTTTGTAACAAAACACACAAAATGAAGCTCCTCACCCTCAACTTCCTCACATGCGCCATCAAAACCTGCAAAACCAACCCCGCGTCCTTCCCCCTCCACCCCCGCGATGCCGAACTCGAAATCGTAGAAGCAGACGTCAACCTCGCCTTTCTCAAAAATATACTACCGAGGATCATGTGGGACGAATTGAGGGGGATATGCAGCGAGGTACGCGAAATAAAATGCACCCGCCAGGCGCGAAGCCCACGCGCATTGTGTCTCCAAAGAGATACAGATACTCCAAAACCTTTGAACAGAAAGCTGACAGACATATGACACATAGCTTGGTCTTCCTGAACTCCCCGCAACAGCACCCACGCCCGCCGATCTCGTCGAACCCTCCTCTTCCTCCGCTTCAGCGTTAGATACCACGGATGCGACACCAGCGGCCGCGACGGAAGAGATAGAAGAGGAGCCTAGCCAGACAGCGAAGGATCTGCACAGGATATTGCTTGAGACGTGTATACAAGAGGGCAAGCTGGTGTGCGGGGCATGTGAGCATGAGTATGCGGTCAAAGAGGGGGTTGCGAATTTCCTGTTGCCGGGACATTTGGTATGAGTTGGGACGGCTGAAATGAGGTCTCTTGGTTAGACATCGGAGTGCAAGTGGAAGATGCGTCTATCGAACAACTACAAGCGCGACTGGCAGTCTATGGTAGACTTGGTCTGAAGAGGGTGTACAACACTATGATGCCGTGGGCACAGTATGAATGTTGTGCACCAACAGGGGAGAACGATGACCGTGAAAGAGGAATGGAGCTGGTCGGTGGGAGCGGTTACTTGATACCCTTTTGATTGCGTTAACCCACATACGGGGGAAAGCATTGTGCTGCACACGAGTCTGAGGTCTCTGCGGCCTGAATCGCTTGCAGAAGCATCACCCAAGTCAAATGAAACATCGATGGAGGGCAACGCGTTCAAGAATTGAAGCTACACTTTTCCCTAGCCAAAATGGTATCTACGATATGCGCCCAAACACCCATACGATGGCACTTCTACCAGCAAAAACTTTCAACTCTTACGAGCCGAGAGCGCGGTTGATCTGCACCCTCTTATCCTCACCACCCGAGACAATGCCCACTGCGCTATCCCATCTTACGCTGAAAACCTTCGCGCCCTCTCCATGACTCTTGGCAGACTCGCGACCTTGCCTGTAGATCGTGTACACACTCTCACCAGTCATTCCCTCACCAACCTGACCACCCGTGCTAACATTCCTGAGATCCCAAATTTGAACGGTTCCGTCATGCGAAGCAGACGCCAGGTTGTATTCGGAAGATGGATCTGTGTCCAAAGAAACAACACCGTTCTTGTGACCTCGTAGTGTCATGACACTGATTTGCGTGGCAGATGCGCGGGGGTCGACCAATGTAATGTGTCGTGCTGAGGTACCGGTTGCAAGCAGGTTTCGGGAGGGGATAGCGCATAGAGAGAGAAGCGAGTGACCGGTCGTTCGGGTGTCAACGCACGACTGGGTAGGCAGATCCCAGGTTTTGAGTGTGTGGTCGTGAGATGCCGAGTATGCGACAGTAGCATCATCTGGTTTGAAGATGACGCTAGATACCGGCGAAGTGTGGCCGCTGAATGTAGCCAGTGCTCCGCGAGCGGGGACCGTGCGATCGGGCTTTGAAAGCTTCTGTCGCTTGTTCGACGCAGCCGTTGAACTGGGCAGGAAGTTCGCCGGCGCGACGGGGTTCTCCTTTGCGTTGCTCGAGAACAACGAGATAGTGGTATCCGAGGAGGCAGAGAGAATGCGACTCGAAGGCGCATGGACTGCGACGTCTTCTACACCCCAGCGGTGGTTGAACAGCTCGAGAGCTGTGGTGATAGTCCTCGCATCGTCGTCGTACTTGTAGACACGGACGGTGTTGTCCAGCCCTGCAGCTACCATCTTCTTCTCCGATAACCATTTAGCCGTCTTCAAGCTTGTAATTCGACCACCGTTGTTGGGAGCCTCTGAAGTCGCCAAAACATCGCCCGAGGTATTCCACACTCTTAACAGTCCATCATAACTCGCGCTCAATATCCTCTCTTGCCCACTTTGCACTCCTGACAGAACATCCACGGCCGAAACCCAGTCGTCGTGTTCGAAGCTCGTGACGTTTAGCGGTGGCACCAAAGCCCTCGTGTATTCAACGTCCAGCGTCGATTCGGCATTGATACCATTCTTCGTGAGGAATTCGTCGATTGTGGTTCGGAGGAATTCGCCGTTGATAAGGATGTCAAAGGGTATGCGACTGCCGTCATCGCGGTGCAGGAGTTCGTTCACAAGTGTGGAAAGCTTGTGTCGAGTCAAAGCTGTGGGCGCATCCGCGTTAGCTCTGTATCTAGACGGACTGCGCAGCGTTTTGTAGCCTGAAACCACGAACTGCAGTCGCGACGGTTCAAATTACTGTGCGAGCATGCTGCAGTAGATGGCTAGAGGCCGCGACATGCGACTAGGCTTCCGGTAGTTCTACTCACATGTTTGAACCAAGAGGATGTTCGGCTCCTCCGAAATCTGCAGAGCAGCATCGCGCGTCGTAAGGCGAATCTGCACCTTGGTCTCTGCGGCGTCGATATCCATGGCGTCGGCGGGTTTGGCGGTATATGTTGATTGGTGTTGGAGTTACGAAGCTTAGGAAATTTTGGGATCTCGAACTTTTTTTCGAATCCGGTTAGCGCGGAAGAAGCCAGCCAGTCGGCGTTCGTGAACCTCCGCTCGTGGTATTATAGATTATGTCTTTCCAGTAGTTCAATTTATGCAGAAAGTATCAAAGCCGGCTGATAGTTGGGTATAGGTTTTCGGTGTTTCAGAAGACTAACTGTAAACTAGGGTCAATCTATCACTAGAGTACTACGCATGCGCTCAAGAGGAAAGTCGTGTGTTGTTTCCTTCACGTAAATTGTCATTTACTAAGTCATACTGGTTCTCCTGATCTCAGCGATAGCTCTCCTCCGGTGATCACTAGGCGCGAACAGAGCCTCGATCAATCCAATCACCTCTTCAGCTTCCATCTCCAACTTCAGCTCGCCGTCCGTCCAGAAGTATTTGATATCCGCAAGGCTGCTGTCCAGAATTTCGCTGAGATACTGGAACTTGAACCAGTTGGGCGTGTAGATACCGGCCATGTCTCTTGTTTCTCCGTTGCCATCCTCGGTCTGGAAGTGTTGGGATAGAGTAGCAAGCGAGACACAGTACCCGTGTAACTTCCTCGACTCATCTTCTGCAATATCTGACATGTCCTCGACATCGTTGATGAACTTTGTGAGAGCTGCTGACACCAACGAGCCAAGTGACTGATGTAGAGCGCTATGTGAAAGTACATTCTGCCACTGTCGCTTCACATCACCTATGCGATCTATCGTCGTAGCGATGGCGTCATCACAGACCGTAGCGAACGGAACGTTCGTACAGCCTTGGAAGCCTTGCGCATCTTCAAGATGATCCCGGATGATCTGTCTTTGTGACTCCATCTCGCGTCCGTATGCACGCTTTCCAAATCCGTCGATCGTCTTGATGTCAGATTCGATCAGCGGTTGGAGGCGTTTGGAAGGTCGCAAGTGCTGTGGCAATGTAGACGATTTATCTCTTTCAGCTTGTTCTTGAAGAAAGAGTCGCAGACGATCCGATAGTCGCTGGCAGTCGTTGTAGATGAGCATGTTACTGGCGATATCTTTTGAGTAATGCATCACAGCAGTAGCTCGGTACATTGCCAACAGGAGGCTCGGAATCGCATATAGACCCCCGCTCGCGGGTGCGATTGCAGACTTGACCAGCTCGGGTGAGTTCAGCGTGTCTACTTCTGCAATGACCTGCAAGATTATCTCCATTATGGCATCTGGGATCGCTGTCACTGTATATGTCTCCCGAAGGGTGACCTCCTGGTGTGCCGGCTGTTTTTGAGAGGCAGGTTTTCCGTTCGTATTCGATTGCTCCGTTGTATGTGCTGCAGGCTTCGGCGTTGTGGTGGGTTTGGTATCGGTCTCGTCATCCCAATCAGCGCCCCAATCATCTGCATCCTCTGCATCAGCTGGCTTTTCTTTCGCCTCTTGCTCTTTGGGTTCATCTCCAATCACATCATCATCCTCACCCCAAGCACTCATATCTTCTTCTTCGATAGTCTCCTTCTTCTCTTCTGCGACATCGCCCTCCTCATCCCAATCAGCAGCCCAGTCATCCTTTTGTTCGTTGCCAGCATGCAATGCATCTCCCTTTGAGATGACTTGCGTCTCGACCCGTTCAACAGTCTTCTTTTCTTGCACCTTCTTCGGGAACATCGTTTGTACTCGAGCGATCGCATCCTCTTTCTGTTTAGCAAGCCATATCTCGGCAGACTTATCTACCCATTCAGCTAGACGATTTTGGCCTGACCAGCCGAGCTCATCGAGATACTCCACAAAGCCCAAGACATATGAGAGCGATTCTTGAAAATGTGGTATCCCGTCTGTTGATAATGGCACGGCAGGCAAAAGCAGGTTCGAAATTAAACGAGAAGCAATGATCGGAACGAACTTTGAGGACAGCGGAACGGCGATGCTAGGCGGTAGACGCGTGCTCAGGTACTCAGCAAGCAAGTGCATATCCTCCAAGGTAGCCTTGACCGCACCATCATTCACCGTGCCAGCACGTTGGATAACATCCTCCTGGATGTTGAAGGCGGACACAACGCGGTCGGTGCCTATAGCCAGTCGGGGAGCGATTATGATCTTGTCCAGGTCACGGCTCAAGCGGGTAACGAAGCTGTCCAGGAGACCCAACTTCGTAAGCGCTTCAACTGTTGTGTTGATATCGACTCTGGCCTCGCGTTCGATCGACTGGTGCAGCGAGATCTTATGGTTGGTGTTGTCGACTGCAATCAGCCCGTTCCATGACTCCGTGATCGTCTCTACGATGGCTTTCTTCAGCTGCTCCTCCTTGTTCTTCAGCACACCCACCGCTCTTGTAGTGGTGAACAGCCCAAGTCCCTGGAATGCGCCATCTGCATCTTCCAAAGTCTGTATGGCGTGCATAACATGGCCATGTACAGCAGCGTTTTGGGCAGAGTCGAGCAGGGTCGAGATGTCTCGAAGCTGCTCTACAGCACGTGCCAAGCTTTCGTTGTATGCAATTTCCGTGTGCAGTAGGCTGACCTTGCTTGCAGCATCCTGTACGCGAGCTGTATTCTCCTTTCCCGCCTCTGCTTGTTTTACAATATCTTTGGCCGTTTCTTGCGAGCGTTTGATATCGTCTTGTAGCTTGCGTGCCTGTGCTATCCAGCCATCGACGTCGGGCGCGGCTTCTCTCGAGAGTTGGCGTACTTCGTCCTGGAACAACGGTCAGCGTTGCCTGGAGCACGCGCTCCTTCAACACACCTTCGTCTCTTCTCTTGCCTTGGCAACTACCTCCAACAGCTTTGGAAGTGCGCTGGAAGGCACAGTTGCGGACGCGACATCCTGGTCCTGGGGAAACGCGCCATGCGCGGCCGATTGGAGCAGCGCGTCGCCTAGCTGCTCGTCTGAGACTTGCGAAGGCATTTGTAATCACGGGGTGATTGTCATGTCGATTCTAAAAAGGGTTTGCGGCGGGATAGTTCGCAG